AACCAGCAAAACCTTTCTTCTTGCTAGAAGTTTTTAGTGTGAAAGGGTAATGATCAAGTTTTTGTCTAATTCCCCAAGTTCTGTTTTGTCTCCTCTTTACTCCTTATTGGTGATTGATCTAGTTCAAATGGATTAAGAACTAAGAAGGGAGAACAATTAAAAGTCAGGAATAAGGAGGCCAACACAACTGGTACCTCTATAATTTAGTGAAAATCATCTCTTACCTTCTGAGAGAACCTGCTTCTGGGACCTTCCAGATACATAGCCTCTTCTCCAGCTGCTGCATTAGTGCTTCCTCTGGGCATTCAGTGGCCCGTCTGCTCTGGTGAATCTTGTTTGTTCAGTCAGTTCTCTTGGATGGCATCCCCAAGACCCCAGGTAGCCTCCATCCATGCGGTGTTCATCTTGATTTAACGTGAGATTTATCCTCCTAGATCACGTTTCCCTCACATATCCTGGGAATATGTACATTTTGTCTAAGAATTCTCCTACCACTTCGGTTGCTAGTGACATCAGGCTGTGAGGGACTCCTTGTTTTGAAGGAGCACTTATTTTTCTCCCTGGGAAACATGATTCAAAAAATGTTATTTTTCTAAAGAGTCATTCTTCTCTCAGCCTCTTGTAAAAAGTTATATTGATGATGGGCTGGCCAAATAGCTCAGTGGATTAAAGGACCTGCAAGTAGGCGCAGGGGCCAGGGGTTTGATCCCCAGGCCTGTTGTGCCGGCCCCACCCCTGGGGCACGCTGAGATGGCAATTGAAACTGGGCTTGGTGGTGTGCACTGTAATTCCAGTACTTGGGAGGCTGTAAACAGGAGAATCACTATGAGTCCAATCCAGTAGTGAGACCCTGAACACTCTGTAAACCCTTCCCTAAAATACAGGGGGAAAAAAGTTATATTGATGACAGCAAAACTTTAATCAGCATCTTTCGAAGACCTTTTTTTTTAAACTCAGGATCTTGCACTTGCCAGGCAGAGGCTATGCTGCTGAGCCATATCACCAACCCTAGAACACCCTATTTTAGAGTGAAGGACTCTGAATTTTGTTTCACTCCCCCTCTTTGGGGTACAAGTTGAGACTGAGGAAGATTTATAAGTTACCATTCTTGTAAAAATGAACAGTGATAACAAGAAACCCAAAGGATTGTTGGAAACATTAACAAATCAGCAGCATGTACATCATGTACTATGTGGGAAAAGATTATATGTACAATGACCCATAAAAGTATGACATAGGAAACTAGTAGTTGTATATGTCCCCAAAAAGCACATTTAAAAATTAAGATTTGAATAAGAAGACAACATACAACATAATAAAATGCAACTCTCATTTAAGTGGGATACAATGCCATTAAAATTTCAGTAAAATTTTTGAACTTCTAAAGTTCTTAGGAGAAAATGAGCAAACCAAAAATCCAGAAAGATAATCAAAGGGGGAATACTTTTTTTTGCCGGGGGGGGGGGGGAGAACCAGGGATTGAACTCAGGCCTTTGCGCTTGCCAGGGAAGCACTTATTCCACTGAGCCATCTCCCCAGCCTGAAGGGGGAATACTTTTAGTGGATGTAAAAATATATTTAAAACCTGTCATAAGCCTAGTGCAGCACACATCTACAATGCCAGAACTTGGGAAGTTGAGGCAAAAAGATTGCCATCAATTCGAGGCCAGCCTGGGCTACATAGTGAGTTTTGAGCAAAACTGGAATACTTAATGAGACCCCCATCTCAAAAAAACCACCAATAACCCCTGTAATAACTACAGAATGATCCTGGTAATTAATTACGTGAACAGATCGATGGAATTAAATAGATGTATAACCAGATTTGCTCTTGTACTGTATATGAAGGAAATAAAGTACATGATAAATATGGTTTTGATGAGTGAGGGAAATCCAGATTATTGAATATCTGGTAATCATACGGCCAAGGTTTTGTTTTTTTTTTAAATGCTGGGATGAACTCAGCCTTGCACATGTAATCACACTAACCATGTGATTTAGCACATAGTATATCACCAAAGTCTTGCTTTTTTCTTTTTGAATTTCCAGACCCTTCATTCTAGGCAAGCACTGTCCTATGATTATGCTATACCCCAGCCCTTAAATTGTGTTTTTGTGTGAGAAAAACACAAGGTCAAATGAGAAAATATTTTTAAAAAATTGTAATTCATACCATAAAAGAATAAATTTCCTCCCTTTAGAAAAGATCTAAAAGCTGGGGAGATAGCTCAGTGGCATAAGTGCCTGCCTGGCAAGCCCAAGGTCCTGAGTTCAATCCCTCATACTGAAAAAAAAAAAAAAAGTAATGGTATTAATAGAGGATAAAAATAACCTAATAGAAAAATGAAACAACAGATACAAGAAACTAAAGGTTTTTTTTGGTTTTTTTTGGTTTTTTTTCTGGTACCAGGGATTGAACTCAGGACCCTGTGCTTGCCAGGCAGGTGCTTATTCTACTGAGCTGTCTCCCCAGCCCTCTAAAGGTGCTTTTTAACTTAAGAAAAAACTCAAAACTAAAAATTAGAATCACAATTTATACATATTAAACAGGCAAACAGATTTATCAATAGTACTTCGCAGAGGATGGGGTGATAATTGTTCTCATATTACTTACTACTAGTGGTAGTGTAAATGTGAATGAGAGCACCCTAAGGGAAACCAGCTTAGAGGGATAGTCAATAGCAGCTGGCAGCTCAGGAGAGAAATCATGATGCTTGAGGGAAGAGGAACTTGCCCCCAGAGCCTGTATCTCTGAATTTGAGAATAAAATAAGAATTGTCTAGCTTATTTACACTTCTCCCATGCTTACATAGGATGTGCAGATCGGACAATGACCAAGAAATAGAAGCACTTTTAATTGAGTCATAAGTTACAAGAGATCTATAAAGCATGTGTAGTTTCATAATAGGTTTTTTTTTTCCCCCTATCTTGGCTTTGCTGTCTTAGGAACTGGCCCTTTTCTAAAGAGAAGCCTAGAGGAAAGACTGGTCATCTCTTCCAAATCTCAGAACAATGGCTCAGGTGAGGTGATGGCTACACTCATTTCTGAAACTTACTTTCTTTTGTGTTTTTGTTTATTTGGGGTTTTCTTAGAGACAGGGTCTCACTGTATAATACAGGCTGGCTTGAACTCATATTGTAGCCCAGGCTACCCCTCAAACTTAGTGGTCTTGCCTTGGTCTATCAAATGCTGGAATTACAGATTTGCACCACCACGCCCAGCTGTTCTTTTTTTTTTTAAAAAAAAAAAAAGAATATTTGGACATATGATTTTCTTTTAAGAGAATAAAAAATAGTAATAAAAATACAGAATTTTACTGAATAAAACGATAGAAATTCAACAGTGATTGTTATATTGCATTTTGTTGTCTTCAAATTAGTTATTGAGATTACCAGATATAAGCATGCAAAATTGGACCAAAAAAATTAAAAAGAAAAAAAGTTTATCAACTGTTCCTTTCAATAGACTATAAAAATCAGCAGTACAGTTATCCAAGGTATCTTATATATAAACATATATACTTTTGCCCCTTATTTCCTTCTCTTTTTTTTTTCCCCCTCATCCCAGTTGTTCCTTCCTTTTGAACAGTGTCATTCTCTTTCACAGTATCTATTGAACGTTTCAGATTTTGTTTACTTTTTTAGGTTCTTACACTAGGGAGACAATATGATATATACAGATATGTCTGATTTATTTCAATTATGAGTATGATCTCTAGTTGCATCCATATACCTATAAAAGCTCTGGGTTTATCTTTCTATAACAGTAATACTTCATTGTATAAAAAATACCACATCTTTTGTATCCATTGCTCAGTTGATATGGCATTTGGATTATTTCCAAGATTTAACTGTGACAAATAGTGCTGCTATAAACACAGGTGCACATATGTTGCTGTGGTATGATGCTTTCGGTTCTTCTGGAAAAATATGCAGGAGGGGAACAGCTGGGTCGAGTGGTACCTCTAATCCTAGTTTTTTAAGGAATCTCCACACTGACTTTCTTAGTGGTTATACCAGTCTACACTCCCACCAACAGTAGAGAAAGGTTTCTTTTTCCCCATTGGGCATATGATTTTCTTGTCCTAAATCCTTCTCTCTGTCTTCCCCTTTAGGAAATTGCTTCCCATTTTTTCTTTTTTCAGTGTTCTTCCAGAAGCTTGCCTGAAACAAAATACATCTCCTTGATTTAATGAGAATATTACTGAATGAACCTATTTTATGGAGATAGAAAAAGATATGAGTTCTTTTTTTTATCACTTCCACAGACCTGAATAAAAAGATGAACATAAAATTGATAAAGTGGGCCAGAGATATAGCTCAGTAGCATAAGCACCTGCCTGGCAAGCACAAGGTCTTGAAAAGAAAAGAAAAGAAAAGAAAAGAAAAGAAAAGAAAAGAAAAGAAAAGAAAAAGAAATTGATAAAGTATTGTTAAATGGCAAGAAGTATTGGGCATGATGATATAAGCCTATAATACCACCATTCTCAGCCTGAGGCAGGAGGACTATAAATTCCACCCAGCTTGGGCAATTTAGTGACTTAGTGAGACCCAACTGAAACTGAAAAAAATAAATTAGCTGAGGTTGTAGCTCA